AGCCCCACTTTATGTATACACAATAGATATACAGTAGTTGAGGCCCCTGGTCACACTGGAAAGAAGCACAGCAAAGCCTGGGTCACAGTTTCTGTACAAGTACACACATTCTCCTGTTAAGTTTTTATTTATTTTGCACCACTCTGCTTGGTGACCAAAGGCTGATTGCAGTATTTCCATGGAAATTAACAGTTTTAAATGTCATTACTCACATCACATTCCCATTCAAATAAATGTATCCACACTCAACCCTTAAAAGGATGAGATGTCATGTTTCTGATGTGGGTAACAAATAAACATTGATCAGAGCCAATGTGCAAATGCTGCAATTTGTACACCACCAATCAAAGCAGGAACAGTTGTCATTCACTTTGCCCATAAAGCATTAATAAGAAGAAATGAAAAGTAGATCCACAGAATAGAAGAAAGATGTAGTCCTTCTGGCAATCCAGGCCCTTTTGAACTGTCCTACTGACGAACAGGCCTGTGTCACCGGGGGTTTGGCGTCTTGGAAAGAATCTCTGCTGACTTCATTCACGCTGGAGTGACTCGATTTGAGACTGGGGACTCCCTTCACAAAATACAACCAGATGGCTCAGTCATCTAGCTGCTTATAAAGTGTAACTACACAGTGTGTGTGCGTGTGAGTGTAACCCTGGGAGCCGACTTCCAGACACATGTATATTTCTCAGTCCAAAGTAGCTGACTTTAAGTGAGGGAGCAGACCAGACTCAGACCAACTGGGACCCTCTGAACTGCTGCTGAAAACAAATTAACTGCAGCAAGAAACTACATTTAGGGTTTTTAATTTAGTGGTGTAATTATTAAATTACCTTAATTAGAAAGTTAAACACCTAGATCTGTCCTTCTTTGTCATGCATTCCTGAGAAGGCTGCAAGAGATCATGGGCAGAGGACCTTAGGACGTGTCTCAAAGTCTATAGTCAACTCTATGCCGTTTACCCAGATGAATAGCCTGTGAGTCAAAATGCCAAAAATGAGCTTCCATGGTCAGGTTTACAGCATTATTCTTGTATGTGCTTTTATGAAAGGGCTGATGTGGGTGGAAAGTGAGTAAAACGTCATCTTATAGGCTTAGAGATGTGCTGTTCAACAGTATATCATATAAAGAATCGGTTATTCAATTAATGTATGGAAAACTATGTTAATGAGAGACAGATCTAAATAATAAGACACCAATATTTGATGTTAACCTTATATGTTGGCACCTGCTTCATCACTTCAAGCCTGTGAAGTACACTGGAACCAACCACTGTCATCACAGCCCTTGAAAGTTCGAGTTCAGTCAGGGAATGTGACATTTCATCTCATATCTCTACAAAAATGCAAAAGTAACAGGTGTACTGTTTGTGTAAAAAGCACTATTAATAGGAAAGAATGGTGCCATCTTTCTTCATACAGACAATTCTGATTTATTATATTCAGTTTTATGTGCTGATGGGTCACATTCATGTTATTGACACTAGAAATATACTGAAATAACTTTTTTAATAGAGGGAAGTCGTAACTTTTCTTCCACTCAGATTCTCACACACCCAAACTCTTCCCAGATCTTAACTACTTGCAATCAGCATAGACTCAACCTGATGTAAACATCATTTTACAATAACACATATGAGAGAATGTCTATCTGCAGAAAATGTGTATGAATGTTTGTGCAATTTGAGGCACGTGTCTTGGGTTCCATGTATTTTGCAGTAATGTATGGTATCTTTGCCTAAACCAGCTCAGTGCGGTGTCTCACATCTGCATCCCATTTCTGGGTGGTGAGTTTCAGGTTGCTGTGTCTAACTGGGGAGTGTAGCATTGGACCATCACAGCACCCATCTCTGTTTATCTCTGACTGTCAAACAAAAGCATCCCAGTTCCTGTCTGCTTAGCGCCTCAAATCTACAAGCTACTCTTCCAATATGCTCTTGTATTTTCCTCTGCCAAGATGTGATTCCCCCTTGTCTTTATGGTGGAGTGAAGAAAAGCTATTTCTCATCAGACAGAAAAAGCTGTGTTTTCTAACAAATACAAGTAAATCAGCAGGGTCGGATTAATTAGCCAAAGCTTGGTGTGAGAGGAGAGTTACAGGAGCCCGTTTATTGTATGCTCTCTGGGAAAACTCTGTTTGCTCTTGGCTCGCTCATACTACAAGCATTTCATTTACAAGTTATTTCTTTATCTATGGTACAGCCTAGTGGTAAGGGAGAACAACTCAGCTCAGAGCAGGACATAGTGTACTCTCAGGGGCACACCGATGATAGTCATTTTGCCAACGTGTGGACTGAACACAGTCAGCTGCTGTTGAATCTTCTGAACTGAGGCGAGTACCCCAGACCAACTGGCCAGCAGCTACTAAGCTAAATACTAATTAGAAGTAATTCATAATAGGGATTTGAAACTCAGCTATGTTTGTCTGGACAACAGCTAATGAGGCTCAAGGAAAAGTAGATTCAACAAAAGCAGTGATTTTACTTTCGAACAAAGCACTGGTACTAACCAATTTCCAGTTTGGACCAGTACTAGCTGGTACTGGTAGTAATCAGTTTGAAGTCTGAAGCATCATGTACCGTTCCTGGTTTGTGTTTACAAGAATATCTTGGCAGCAGACAAGCAAATGACACCATGAGGACAAAGAGTTCAACAAACATGTAAATGTCCTTTGTATGAAAGCCAACAACAAGCATGTCAACACAACAACAGTACAGTTTATTCAAGTAATCAGCACTTCTGTACAGTTTAAAAGAAGAATATTTACTGTCTAACACATTTTGTGAGAAGATTCCTCAGTTTTTCATAGCACCTCGAACAGTCTGTTCTCATCAGTGTGTCAAGATTAAACCTTACAACACTTGGAGCGAGAAAACTGACAATGCTGTTTGTTATGACGAAATGGGAGGAAAGTTCCAAACCAACCTCTCTGTTATTCAACATTCCTATTTTGTAGCAGGAGCCATTTTTCATCTTAGATAACAGGACATTCCCTGCGTAGCTGCCCTCCTCTCTGGTTTTTTCCAATCCCTTCCATTGGTTTATAGTGCTTTGAAACCAAGCATGTTTTGTAATGGTTATTTTAAGCCATAAGTATAAACTCCATTAGTATCAGGGCCAGGTATTTCTTAAAGGGAACACTCCATGTGAAGACTGACAAACCTGTGCTTCAAGATTATTTACAGACTAAGACTTTGATAAACCAGGCAACATTCTGATTAAACAAAGTTCCACAGCTTTTCAGATGGGCTACAAATTCAGGCCAGCATCATGCCACACGGGCACGTTTTGGCAAAGGTCTCAAATGAGGCAAGTGACTGAGGACTGCAAGCATAAAATACTGCTTTTGAATGCTTTGTAAAGATGTGGGACTAAACAGTAAACACAGGTGCAGACCACCAGGAGAGCTGACATATGACCTCTTGCTCTCTGTGCAAGGCAACTGTGCCCGCTGGCAACACAACCTAGAAGGAAGAGGCTTGAAAACTATGAGCTTAAAACACATAAAAGTCCCCGTGTGACGTCAGTAAGGTGCACACGGACTGTGTTTTATCATATGTCTCAAACAGGAAGAAGGGCATTTCACTCTGAAAATCCATTTCCAGGGCTGCACTGGGTTTTAAGGCGGTTACCATGAGTCAGTGTCGCAGATTCACATCCAGCCGTGCACTTCTGTTGCATGTCACTCCCTATCTCTACCTTCCCTTATTTCCTGTCATCACCCAACTGTTGGCTGTCCGATGACAACTATAACATACTCCTCTGTTAGTGCGTTAAAACTTAGCTGCCTCTCTCGGTGCCTTCTACAATCTGTCCACCGCCTGCACGTGCTAGGTGGGATGTAAAACGTGCTGAAGCTAACAGACAGCCTGTAATCATTGCAGGAGGCCCTGTCATGATACAGAGAGCCAATCAAGGACCAGATATGGCATCACCTGAAATAGTAATCTGTCTAATAAAAGAACACAAAGTCAGCTAAATAGTAGTTAGATTATTTTTTACAAATTATTTCACCATTCTGTTTTGCTTTATAGTTTAACTTGAAAGTAACAGCTCCTTTCTCAAATGAGCTTCATGTTGCTGCAGGTTTATTTTCACTACTTATTGTAACATATGAAGTAGACTGACTTGTTACATAGTGACCCAGTCTAACAGATGGACTGTTATACCAAACCCTGAAGACATCGATGGCGTTTTCCCACTTTTCTCTATTTCACAATTTTCTACATCTGTATGATTTGATATGTTTTGTTTCATTAGTTGAAATATTCAGTAAAGTGTTCATTATAAAAATGCAATTAATGGAAAGCACTCTTTTAGTTATGTCAAAAGTATATATACTATAAATTATACATTTGTAATTAAAGGACTAAATATGTAAACGTGCGTAATTAAATTAAGGTGCCTAATGTTTCTGTGCAAGGCCATAATAAGGGTAGCATTAGCACACAGGTACTGTCCTTTAAATGTTTTCACTTCCCATGGTTGAAGAGGTGTCCATACATGCTAGTAAAACTTTAGACAGTATTGTTGTTCACATAAAAGTCGAGCCAAATGCAGCTTTAATACAAAAGCAAGCTGATTGTCTTGAACAAACCCTGACCCTGAATCCTTAACTTCCAGTGGTCTGATCTAATTGTAGTGTGTGTTCAGCTTGATTCAACCTCCATGGATAAATTAAAAGATACTAAACCTCTAAAATGGGTCTTTTCAACTTCAAAGAGAGCCAAAAAGTAATTTCAAGAATTCATAAACAACTTCCTACACCTCCTTCTGAAAAATACCAAGCTCTCTGGGTCGTCTCTATAAGCAGACAGTCACCATGTGCAGAGTGTGAAGCACAGCAATCTAAGACGGAGCAAAGCAGCATCTGGAGAGCTTCACTCCACGTGCTGGTTTGTGTTCCTCTACGTACTGCATGCTTTGGTTTTTTAAATTTTAATTATCCAGGGACTGAGCACGCACAAATCAAATGTCTTATTTCATATTGCTACTCACACAAAATGTCAAATGTCTTATTTCATATTGCTACTCAGCATTAATGGTACACCAGCAAATGTAGTTACCCTCTTGCATTTTCCCAGCAACTCCAGGACTATTTCAGCAACCCTGACATAAAAGGACAACTCTCCTCTTCCTCTCCCTGAGCTAAAATAAATACTCCTCTACAGCCCACTCTAATATTAGAAGCATATTCTTGTCTTGTGGCATCCATTCTGCTTATGTTTATCAAAGTGGCAAACATTATTAAATGCTATTTTAAAACTCCTGTAGTTGCAGTTTATAGTGAAGATTTTATATTGGTGGCCAACAACTAAACTAGCTAAACCAATAACTGTCACACATTGAGCTGATGTTTACCAACCTGAGCCAGTGACTGTGAGTTTACAGTAAATGGAACCAAAGGGAGCAGTGCTGAGTGCAGGCCTTTCTAATATAAGCTGCTACTGAGGAGACACTTCCCTCTCACATTTTTCTTGTCAACACGTCACCTTAAGTGTCAGTGTCCAACAAGTATGTCTGGATGCAAACTAAAACAATAACTATTAATAAACAGATTAGATTAGGCACCCCAGATGCATCAGCTGCACTCTACTATGACACACTACAAGGGATAAAACCACTTAAATTAATTTTCATTCGCCAATGCCCCAAATCTTTATCAGGCCATTGCTGCAGTGGTTCCCAAACCTTTGAGAAGGCATCGCTCATACGAACTTCTTTGTCATTGTACATCCTTAATGTAAGCTAAACTAGTTTCCACTGAATGTAATTATCTCAGCCTGCTCATTATCCACGTCTCAGATTACATTGAGGGCTGGTCTATCATCATTTTGTTAAACTTTATTTAGTGTCAAATCATGACTACTAGCAACTGTGAGTTGTCATGTTATTAGCTGCAGCAAGGCTCCATATCTAAATGGGTTTTAAAAACAGAGATTCTGATGTTTATTGTCTGAAGATACCCAAGAGTTTTTGACTTCTAGTATTCAGGGCAGGAAAAAGAACACTGCATGCTGGTGAAAATGGATGGAAACGTGATGTGGCCTCTCTCTGTAAAAGTCCAAAGAGAACACTGTGCTTGTCTCTACAGTGTGTGTCTTCTGTTACCCTATTATTGCTGCATTTGCCTGCGACTGGCACAGCAGTCTGTGAATTCTTTCTTTGAGCAGTGATCCAACTCCTCCTCCTCGTAGCAGTCAGTGATAACAGAGGTAGCTAACAATGTGTTTTGGTATGTCCAGTTGACCTATGACCGTCAGAGCTCTGGTGCCCAGCTCATTCCTCATTGCTAACCTGCTCAGCTGCTGCAGACTCATGGGAGTGGCTACACACACACACACACACACACACACACACACAGTTAGATGTAGGTTATTACAATATATTGTGTATAATATTTCATAATGATAACATGTCGTGTCATGGCTTTGGAAAATATGCTGCAATACCAAGTAGCTAAAATGTTACCTGGCTCCCAAACTGAATATATGGGCATTCTCACTGAGATTTATAGCCAATATAACTAATGTGCTTGGAATGCATATACTATAATACGTTGAATATGTTTTGGAATGTTTTTAATCCTTTCTACCATCTTCTTCTATATACAGCTATACAATCCTTGTCTCACACTGGTAGTCTACTTTCTATACAAAGCTCAGTTACTGGAAATTCAGCCAAAGTGACTGACCTACATTTGACCAACTGTGTACATGAGCCTCAAGGAACAGCAACAGAGGTAATATATCTCTGAGACTTCCTGGAAGTGAAAACAATCCTTGCTTGCCATCTGCTGGTCTACGCTGACACTGCGCTGCTGTATAGGTCTAAAAGCAGCCACACATACTGGCTCATCAAAATGGTCATGTTCATTTTACATGGAGAACTGACATTTGTGAATAACTTACTCTCATAAAACTGTAGGCAGGCTGCAGAGGGAGATCCTTGTGTGGTGTGGTCCACAGGTTTCCTGTTGTGTGAGTCTCTGGCATAGATGTTGGCCCCAAACTCCACCAGTGTCTCTATCATCTCTACTTGCATGTTTTTTGCAGCATGGTGCAATGGAGTTTCATGCAGCCTTGCAGCATTCACTTTAGCACCTAAAGGGAAAAGGACATGAATGTCAATTCTTGATGGATAAACCTGATGTTATGTTATTCTAGTCTACACATTGCATAAAATGACCAACAATCCACCAACATGTCACTTAACACTTCCTCACTTCTTCACCCTGTGTGTAGGTGAATCCTAATTCTCCTAACTGCATCCACATTTGCCTCACTAGTGTCTTTTCTTTGTATCTCAGTTCTGCCCATGTAAGATGTGAGGAAAAGATGCAAGAAGAAACTATGAGGAGAGAGGAACCAAGGAAACACATCTTAACTGACAGGAGACATCCTTTCCTCCAATCCTTAAGGCAAAGCCTCCAATCACAAACTGATTTCTGATAAAGGGGCGTGTCAATCGGTAACAGAATTCTGCAAAGGTTACAGCTCCTCCAGGAAGCCTCCTCGTTCCACAGAGCAGACGTAAGAGCTTTGGGAGATCCTTCATCATGGCTGACTGGGACGACTTCCAGGTCAAGCGAGGATTGAGGACCAAGGAATGATAAAATAAGGGAGTTGGGATTCACTTCATGTCTCTCAGTTCCAGGCCCATTGGTTCCTACACAGAACCAAGTACTTTCCTAAAATGGTTGGTCACTGTTGTTTTTAACAAATGCTGCTCAAACAGGAAAAAATAGAGCATTTGTTAGGACTATATTGCGCAGCAGACTAATCAGAGTTTGGTGCTTTCGTGACAATTTGTGGCAACAGAACCATGTTTGTGGGACTGAGTCAAAATAAACTACAGTGTGTGTTCATGATAATGAAGAAACATGTCACCCAGTGGAACCGCGTGGCTCATTATTGTGTTTTAATATATTCTGGACAACAGTGGAGCTCTGTGACACAAGGAATTAAACAGCATCAGGCTTTCTGTATGGTGTTTTTTGCTCTTTACATAGGATTAGTTGAAGGAACATACAGAATACTGCCATTCTTATCCTTAAACCTTTATGAACATTATGAAAGCATTTATTAACAATTAAAACTACAAATCACTTATATGTTACTACCAATTTTTCCAATAAATACATATAATTTTAGACTGATTTGCTCAAATTCCAGGTGCTTAGGTGACTACAGTATTACAGTGGCCTTGGAATGTATTCAGACCCCTTCACTTTTTGCACACTTTATATTGTAGATTTAATTTGAAATGCATAAAACTGCCATGTTTGCCAGTGCTAACCACTGCAGCACATTTCCACCCCTACCTCTGTTCATTTTTATGCAGCATACTACTGTATCTGTACACACAATGACACCAAAGCCCACCAAAGCTGTGTCATTGCTTATGGGCAAAACTAACTTGAGTCACACCCTGTTAGAAAAACAGTTAAGTTGTATGTTTAGACTCCAATTTAAATATGGAGTAATCCCCAAATTCTATTGTGAATATCTCATAACACCAATTTTCAAGGTAAATCACACGGAGCTTATTTAAAAATGCATGTATTTGCCTGTATTTTCACAGGCCAGCTAACTTGTCCTCCAGTTACAACAGCACTCGAATGCTACACACATCTTCCATGCTATCAGGTTTAAAATATGATCCCAAATACTGTATCTGAATGCAGTAAACATATAAGCAATTGCCTGGTCCTGCTTTGCACTGATACTCACCTGCATTAAGTAGCACTTTAACACAGTCTATGTGTTTGTTAACACAAGCCACATGCAGCGGTGTCCCGTAGTAAAGATCGTACGACTCCAGACAAGCACCCATGGCAATTAGGAGCTTCACACAGTCCGAGTTACCTGAAATAGAAGCAGAGTCTTGCGTTACACAGGGCTGTCTCACACAAAATAAACATTAGCTCTAAGAAAGTGGGTAAACTTGATTCCACAGAAACTCAAAGTTACATGAAGACAGACAAAGTATTCACCTCCCATGCAAGCCTCATGGAGAGGTGAGGCTGTGCGTGAAGTCAGAGCAGGGTTGGCCTTGGCACCATGCTCCAGCAAGAGCTTCACACACTCCAGGCTACCAGCTGAACAAGCATCACACAGCGGGGTACTGCCATCGACATTCCTCGCATTGACCTGAGATGCATCATGGGACATGGGATTAGACATACATACTGTTCGCACAGAATCACTTATGATATGGCAGATAGGCATCTCTCACTCTTCTGGTTTACCTGAGCTCCAGCATCCAGCAGCAGCTGGACGCACTGGGCCTGCCCGTGGAGACACGCCTCATGCAGTGGTGTGATGGAGTCCACGGCCACAACATTAACCGAAGCACCACTTTGAATGAGGTCCCGCAGCTGAGAGGCCTGGCCAAGGGAGGCTGCATTGTGAACCTCTGTTCTCTCAGACCAGCAACCTGCAGGGGAACAGGTCAGGCATTGCTCAGAACCCTCACAATATGTTATCTGGACTTATTAAAAATGTAATATTGCCTACTTTGAGATGTATTTAATGTATTACTAGTGCTATATAAATTGTATATATCCATCAATCCACATCAAAAACTTAAATATCTCATTTACAAAAGTATTCAGATATTCATACCATTGGCTGTGTTACTATACATTGTGGTCAGGTGCATCCTGTTTGCTTTAATGCTCCTTGAGAAAAAAAGTTTGACCTGCAATAAAATAGCGGAGGGGCATAGATTGGGGCTAGAAAACCATTTCTAAAGCTCTAAGTGTTCCCAGGAGCACAGGGACCTCTATAACTGTGAAATTGAAGATGTGTGAAACCACCAGGACTCTTCTTAGAGTCAGTCATCTGGCCAAACTGAGCAACTGGGCAAAAAAGGTCTCTTCATCATTCAGGACTTTATGGTAGAGTGGCTAGACAGAAAATACTCTGAGTAAAAGGCAGATGACAGCACAAATTACATTAAAGTGCTCATGGCATGCTCATGTTCAGCCATTTAATTGTTTAATCTTGGGTACCTCTAGATTACCTTTGCGCTCATCATAAATCTCAATAATCAGTAATTATTTCAGAACAGATAAAACCCAAGAGCCTCCTCCTGAAAATGAGAGGATAGTTCATGAACGCGCACAACCCCTGCTGCCGGTGATGGGTCCAAAGCCTGTTTCTCCATCGAGGTGTGTTTCCCCTAACCTGAATCCTAACATTATCCTAACCACAACCACTGGGAAACACATATCAGAGAAACACTTTGACACAAGACCAGTCAGGAAGCCAGGACAATGCATAAACAAAAAACACTGACAAATAAGCTACATTTTTGACAATGAGAATACCTCAAATCCTACCTGACATGTTCGAACCAGAATATGAAAGTGAACAGCACAACGAACCGCAACAACATTAATTATGAATTTCTCCTCCATAGACAGGTAAACGACAGTATATGTACTGATGAAAAGAGATGTGTAACACTCTAAACAAAGCAGGTAATTGAGAAACAAACCCCATATTTAAACTGGGGTAGTGCAGACATAGTAACTTCTCCAGCCTTACAACAATTCTCTCTAAAGTTACAGAAACAACAAATTAACAGACATGCGCTGTGTTTTTTTAAACTTACCGTTAAGTCCTACTGAGTAATAGAAACAACATTCCCTTTCAAGTAGCTCCAAGATCAGTAAATCTAACCAGTGATCACTGCATCTTCCTCCACAAATCCCTCGTGTTACAATCACATACATTCCCAAAGTAATGAAATTAATTCCAACAGGAAGCTTGGCACAGACAATAACATCATGGATCATTAATCCACTTGTTAACCAGCAACACATCACATGCGACACTGGACTCAAGTTATCAAAACAAACAGGTGCTGTGCTCCAGAGGAATCCAGTGTTGATGAGCTGATCATTCACTGCCTCAGGGTGCTTTACTGGCTGGCTACTTGTAGGTTTGACCCAGTCTGGTAAAACAGTGAGTCCCTGTACAGGAACATTCCCGGACCTGCAGTAACCTCAGGCCCTGTATTTTCGCCACATCGTCTGGTCACAATGCAGGCAGCAGGAGGTAAAATATATCCACCAAACCATGTGTAGTCGAAAAACCCCACTTTTAATATGGCACCAGTGGATGTCAGGCAAGCTCACATGAATGCACAACTGCCTAGAGCTTATGACCATTCAAGGAGATCCTTATACTATCATATAAGACTTTACATTGTTGGAAAAATAAGCCTCACCAGCGAGTTCACGAGACTTGTACAAACCGAGTTGCTTCTGCATAGAAGTACTAGAACATACCTAAACCTCGATTTTTGAGCTTTAGGTCACCTTTAAGATGATAGTTCACCATTGTAACATTGTAGGTAAGTCAGACAACAAGGAATCACATGCCACGGGCTGTTTAAGAAAAGCAGTTACTTTATGTGCAAGCAATCAAGTGAAATTAAAATACTTGTATATACTTGTATTAGAATCCTTAAGTAAAATGAGAGATTTCAGTTACAACATTTTCTGTAGCTCATTCTATATGGATGGATTACTCAATGGGCTACCTGGGCTCAGGGCCAGGGGCCCAAGGGATCAAACTGAATGTCACCTGAAAATAGTGTCTTAGAAAGAGACCAACTGCAAAATGCAAAATGACTATAAAGAGATAAAAAAAAACATCTAAAGAGAGATGCAAAATGTCTTCAAAGAGATGCAAAACCTCCACAGAGATGCTAAGCAGCAGCAAGGAGATACAAATCATATACTGACATAAATTGACTATTAAAACAGTGAAAAAGACCAGAGAAATGCAAAACATCTTCAAAGACCATAAAATGACAAAACACATTTTTTAAGTGTCTGTTTTAGTATTGGTGTGTTGCTTCATATGCAGCGGGGTGGGGGGCCCTTTTACTTGCTTGTACCCAGGAGTCCACTGTATCATAATCTGTCCATGCCTATAAATTGTATAGTACCTGAAAGCAGCAGCTCTAAGCTCAGTTTGAACAGGACGTACAGCTAATGCTAAAATATTATATGACCTCACATTGTAAGTGCTGTGACCAGAGAGCACAGGTAATGAGGTAGTCAGTCTGTAGTCTGGCAGCTAGAATTAACCAAACTGAATCTCTCTGATATAGTTTTGCTGTTTTATGGCGCCTCATTATTATTCTTCACTAGCATGGTCACCTCTTTACTCCTCATAGGCTCAACTCTCCTGGCAGCTCTCAACCAACTAAGCCATGTATATTGTGAACCGACATTGAAAGGACACACTGCTGCCCAAGGAACATTTATAAACAGGTGTCCAATTACTTTTGAACTGTTGCAATTTGGGCACTATGTGTTTAAAAGCAATATAATAGCTAACATTAGGGATCAAATGGTTTACGGTTATTTATGAATTTATTGACAATTATGTCGCATTTTTGCCTGTACTACCATGTTGTCATAGCTGTTAGCAATTCCTAATCCATTAATGCAAACCTGGCCCTGCATACAGTAAGAGACTTTTTAATAGCTTGTAATGCCTTTTCAAAGAGACGTGAATTCAATGCTTTTTTATTTTATTTTCCAGACCTGCAGATACTCTTCTTCAAAGTTATTAAGAATTACCCTCTATGTCATGTATATGAAATGCCATCTTCTAACATGGGATACACGGTTTCTATAGGCTATGTCAAAAGCTATTTTTGCTTCTACAGAAAAAGAAATGATATTCAGTAGTGAGGTATTATGGGTTAAAATACACCCAGTATTGTCAGTAAATCCTTAGTATTAACAGCTCACTACAGCAGAACATACTAGAGGACTGCCGCTCGCCTGCATGTTAGGTCGGTGTAACCACTGCCAGTCGTTTATGTCGACATCAAACTGAGTCAACCACCTGGGAAAGCGGTAAGTCTCAGCCGGTTTCAACGGCCATGTTGTCTTTAAATCATACCCACCTATGTCTCCGAAGAAATACGGCCGAGCGTTTTTAATTTCCATCCTCCGCCTTTTTATCAATGCAGACTTAGCAATCTTAACGCAAAACCAGAAATGCGGAATATTTGTAAACAGCCGCCTCCTCTTTACATGCGGCAGAAGTCACATGGCACACCAGAAGGTCGAAGCGCATGCTGGGATTTGTAGTGTTTTATCCCCTAATAGGCCATTGTACACGGAACACTGCAACTACTTTTTATTCTTTGGTTAGATAAATACACAATATTATATTTAAATACAACGACATGTGCATAATTTAAGCAGCAATGATGACATCAGTCCTGAGCCACATGACTTTAAATAACTATGATGATAACCTAGTATAGTCCCAATTATAAATATAGTGTCCAAGATATAATATTTAAAATCAAACACTAGTATCTCATACAGGTTTAGAAATCCAGTTAAGTGTCAGTCTGTAGTGATGTGGGTTGGTGTCAAAAGAATTTCAAAACAGAGCAACAAAGTCACTGGAATGGTAACAGCAGTATTTCTTTACTTGCAGCAAGGAGACAAGTCAGCATGAGCATACAGAGTTGTCTGAATGAGATAGGTTGAAACAGTACAATATATAGTTGAAAGGGAACTCCCTGAGGACGCAACCCAGGTGTTAATCAAGTTGTAAAGCAGATTTAAACAGCAAAATAGAATGAGAGGGTTTGCCCTGATAACCCCTTAGACACTAAATAAGCTGGGTGCATGTTTATTTTCACAGTTTATGGCTGGGGTCCTCTAAGTCTGGAACACCCTGTAGTTGAATATATCATAGCAAACAAAGTTTAAAAGAAAGATAAGACATGTCCTTCAACTCACACAAGCAGTTTCTCACAGGTCTCTGTTCTGAAAGTTTAAAATCCATTAAATAGCATATACTGGTTAATATATTGATTAGAGCACAGTTTAAAACATATTTAATAATGTAATTCTCATGACAGTTGGTCACAGTACTGGAGGTAGTTGTGGATGCGACGGGATATGTTCAGCTGACCTATGACCTCTGAAGCTCTGGTACCAAGCATCCTCCTTGTAGCGATTCTACAAAGCTGCTGGAGGCTCAGAGGATGACCTGTCACGTAAAAGAGGTTTTCCTAAGCATAGACATCATAATTCACGATTCAAAAGCAATACTGAGAAAATAAATAACTTTCTATAGCTTTTGTTAGAACAACTGCCTGTCGTGATTGTAATTCAGAAGCAATGCAGGCATTTACTTTCATAAAACCTGAGGCAGGTGTAACAGGGAGACTCTGGTGTTGTGTAGTCGACAGGTTTTCTTCCCAGGTTATCACTAGCGTACACATTGGCTCCAAACTCCACCAGCAGCTCAATCATGTTCATCATGTGGATACGTGCTGCATGATGCAAAGCTGTCTCATGGAACTTCATTGAATTCACACAGGCACCTGTAGAAAGTTAGGAAAATCTTAGGACTGTTATGTTTTGAGCTTATAAAAGCTGAAATAGCCAAATCATGGGATTTGACTAAAAGAGTGATTGTCATATACAGACAGCACCAGGACACATTTAAAATGTAGTTAGGCCAAAGTGATGTCGAGGGCAGGGCCTCGCCCTGTTAAATAAAACAAATTGTCATGCCAAAATCATATTTCAGTACATATACAACAGTTCTCAGAGGGGTGACCAGTGGATAGGATTGGCGGACACACACATTCAAGCATTTTCTGCCCATGCAGGTACACTGTTTCTCATACTCACACACCCACACTGTATAAAACCAAAAATGCATTCAAACACATGAACAAAACAAATGCACACACATTTCACCCTCCCCAGCAGTGCACCATACTGGTTACTGAGCCTCAGGAGACTCACTAAATCACACAGAGGCCCCAGCAGAAATGAGGGATAACAGCTCAACTACACTGTATGCTCAGAATAAATGTGCCTTGTGGAGTTTCACATTTGCAAAGAATATTTTGAATACTATGAAAGCTGTTTTGAGTCTGTCTTCTTTTATTTCCACAAGCTCCTTAGCTATGTCATTGAAATTTAGAGCCACAATGGATGAGATAAATATAAAAAAAAATCAAAAAGCAACTAGAATAAGAGTAAATATGTTACACTGCAAGTGACAGCTAACAGAACATTCCACTGCAACACCAGGGCCCAGTAGCAGAGCTATACCTCCTGCTGCCTGCACTGTGACCAGAGGATGTGGAGAAAAATACAGGGCCTAAGGTTACTGCATGTCCAGAATGATTCCTGTGCAGGGACTCGCTGTTTTACGTGACTGGGTCTAACCTATGATCAGTCGGCCTGTGAAGCCACCACCGTGGTTAATGATCAGCTCATCAATGCTGGATTCCCCTGGAACACAGTACCTGTTTGTTTTGACTGCTTGAGGCCAGTGTGTCTGCAGCATGTGATGTGTTGCTGGTTAACAAGCAGATTAACGATCCATGATGTTATTATCAGCGCTAAGCTACCTGTTGAAATTAATTTCACTACTTTGGGACTGTATGTGGTTGTGTGGGGGAAGACACGGTGACCACTGGTTGGATTTCCTGACCTTGGAGTTGCTTGAAATGGAGTAATGTTTCCACTACTTGGTGGGACTTAATGGTATGTTTAAAAAAAAAACACGTTGCATGTCTGTTAATGCCTTGTTTCTGTAACGTTAGAGAGAATTGTTGTAAGGCTGGAGAAGTTACTATGTCTGCATTATGCCAGTTAAAATATGTTTTTTTTTTCTCTTTTCATCACTACATATATATCATTGTTTACCTATCTATGGAGGAGAAATTCATATTAATTAATGCCGCCGCGGTTCATTGTGCTGTCCACTTGCAACACAACACCGGCAACAGAAGCTGTGCACGTTCACGAACTATCCTCTCATTTGTAGGAAGAAGCTTTCTGTTGTTAATATTCTGTAATAATTACGGACTATTTGGAGCTATGAGGGGTGCCAAGCTAATCTAGAGGTACCCAAGATTAAACATTAAATGGCTGGAAATGAGCATGTCATGGGGACTTTAACCTCATCCTAATCATTTCATAGCCTATCTATGTTTCACATAGATATCTTTTGGGGAATGCTGATTGGTAGGTTGAACTTTGTCAGTAGTGTCCCAGATGCATCATCTGTCAAAAATAGACTTGATGTGTATCTTCAGCAAAGTGTACCAGAGAGCCATATGAAGGACGGATCAAAGACAGAAGGCAGCCGGACCCAGTGGAATCACAACCACTGACTATACTGGCAGTGATCAGCTCAGATGACTGTGTGACAGACAGAGGGTAATGCAGCCACATCCAATGAAAATTAGGGGTAATCTTATATAAACCAGAATATTTCAATTTGAACATTATGTTACCAAATGAATATGGGGTAAAAGCGGTTTTCAATACATTTGATTCCTTTTTTATTTACAACTTCCACAGCATCCCAACTTTTTTAGAAAAGGAGTTGTACATTAAAGTTATTGAAAGGGTTGTTGGTGGCATTGTGGAAAATGTAAGAAACTGAAACAAATTATGTAGGTTAGAAGACAATAAGTAAATATCAAAACTACACTACACCATTATACAAGCAGAGATGTCTGAGTGCGCCTCATTTTCAAGGGTGGATTAACATATTTTCAGACCTGTTGTCTTCTTCCTGACCTGCATTAAGCAGCTCCCTGACAGAGTCCACATGTCCTTTAGCACAGGCGATGTGGAGGGGTGGACCAAAATGCACATCATACGCCTCGAGCTGGGCACCACTGGCTATCATCAACCTCACTACTTCGACATTACCTGAAAGGGATATATATTTTCATTCACAGTGAAGTAATCTAATGGGGTATGTCTTAGTGCTGCTTAAGTATTACCGCGTATGCAGGCCTCGTGAAGTGGTGAAGCGGTGAGAGCTGTGAGGGACGGGTTCACTTTGGCTCCATACTCCAACAGCAATTTGGCACAGTCCAGGCTGCCAGAAGCACAAGCATTACACAGAGGGGTGCTGCCATGGATGGTCCGTACATCGACCTGGAGCAACCAAAGAAGCACTTCCATGTTATTATTTCTATACAACTTTAGACTATTTTAGTAGCACATCACTCTTACCAGAGACTATCACAGTGTGACAAGTGGGTAAACATATTATCATTAACTATTGATCAATAACATGTATTTTTACATTAGACTGTGTCATAGAGCTGCTGACTCAAACCCACTGAAACATCTGAGACCACAGACTGCTTAAAGTCTGCAAAAGCATGTTTATTTTGCTCTTTTCCAGCCATTTCATGTTTAATCTTAGGTACCTCTAGATTATCTTGGCACCCTGCTCATAACTCCAAATAGCCTGTAATTATTTTAGAATATTAACAAGAGAGTTTCTCTTCCTTAAAAAGAGAGTATACTGTAGTTCGTGAACATGCACACCTGTTGCCAGGGCTGTGCGTTTGCGAGATGTGTATAAACCGAGTTGCTTCTGCATAGAAATACTAGAACATACAGTTATGTACAGCTCATTTTCTGAGCTTTAGGTCACGTCTAAGATGATAATTCACCATTGTAATATTGTATACAAGTCAAAAAACAAGGAAAAGCATGACATGGGTTCTTTAAAAATTGTGTGTTGTACCGATGAGGGGTGGGACTACACATGTATATCCCACCTGGGCTCCAGCCTCCAGCAGCAGGCGGGCACAGTTCGGATGAGCCATTATACAGGCCTCATGAAGTGGGGTGATGTTGTCCACAGTCACCATGTTGACAGAGGCTCCACTTTCTATCAGCTGTTTGAGCTGCAAGGCTCTGCCATGGGACGCTGCCTCATGCAGGGCAGTGCGGTCTGCCCAGAAACCTTACACAGCTGGTGACACATAAGCAGAACATTCACAAACATATGGGTACAAACCAAGCTTTGCTCAGTTGTCATTCTATATGTAAATAACTGCAGAGGTTTCTCTGTATAGATTAGCTTTTTATATGACCCTACTCCATTTTTTGTACATGTAACTATTAATTATCTTCTTTACACTGTTTAGCATGTAAGCTAACGTACCTCCACAACTTTTTACAAAACACTAAATGATTATTAGTTACTAGGCTATCAGCTAACTAGCTATCAGCTAGTAAACGCAGAAACTACTTTATAATAAGTGTGTTTCCTCACCTTGACAAAGAAACACTAACATTTACGACCATCATTAACAGTGCTCACCGATATCACCGAGAGACGAACGGCGTGCAGCTGTCACTGCCATGTTGCTGTAGGCTGCAGCCGGCCAGAGCCTCGGAGTAGGGAGGGTGAAGTAGATTTTTAAATAAAGCTTTATTATTTCAGAGAACAGACAGAACAGAGTAGAACATAGCCAGGGAACATAAGGACAATATTAACCTAACTAACACATAACAAGGGAAGACAGCGGGGGAAAAACACAAAAGGAGATTGATAAATAAAGGTCAATATAGTAAACTTCATATAAGTGTATTATTTTAACAGCTTAGGCATTTTGAGAGTTTAATACTTTCCAAGTATCTCTTAATGTAATTTATGAACACAGCCAGAGAGGTATGCTCTATTATATTTCGACTTATGAATATGAGGTTTAGCAATTCTAAACATAAGGTTTATTATAAAATATTTGTCATCATTCTCTTTCTTGTAATCAAAGGTCCCCAAAAGAATGTCTTTAAAGGAGAAACAGAAGTCACTGAGACTTTTACTTTGAATAAAAGCAAGAATATCTGACCAAAACATCTCAGTATAGTTACAGGACCAAAACAAGTGCACAGTAGTTTCAGGAGTATATAGAAAGAGCAGCTGGTGTTGATGTCTTTTATAAACCTTGAAGAAAGAAAAGACTTGACAGGATAATATTTATACAGTAATTTAATTGGAATTGTCATCTTATTAGTTTAAATATATTTATAAGGTAAGGTCCAATGTTTTTTCCTAAGTATGTTACTAACAGTACCATCCTAGTATGATACTACATGGGGTACAATGAGTAAGCTGTTGAAAGA